TTTACAGAACAAAAACAAATATGTGTGTACACATACACCCATACCATCCCCACAAATTCATACGTGCATATACTAAGGGTCAAATATTTAAATTAAAACCTATGTACATATATCTTTTAGGAAAATGGTCAACAAAGAACAAAGGAAAAATGTCTTTGTCTTAAATCACTTATTTTTCTGAGAGAGCTGGCAGCGTACAGCTATCTGGTTTCTTTTGGTCTAAGGAAAGATTGCCATCTATTGGATGACCTTGGAAACGAATGGGTTTTTACTATGTATGTAATCTGTAATTCAAAAAAATAATAATAATAAAAAAAAAATAAAAATAATAAAACACACACACACACAAAGAAAAGTACCATAATGAAATTGAAGACTTTGAACTTAAATAGTATACATTATGATCATGAAACAGGAGAACAACTGCCATCGTCTCAAAACTGAGATTTTAAATTCCAGAATAATTTACATTATATGAAAGCAATAGCTATTTGCTTTAGAATGAACTAAATACTGAATGTCTGTATATACAGTAATATTTGCTAGCAGTTTAAATGTTTTGCAGAATACTGAATCCAAGTTTCTTTATTTAACTTTACTGAAATATAAGGAAAGAGTTTTAAACCAGGTTTTAATATATTTGTAGCATATATTCCTCTCAAGATTTGGGAACAGAATGATGCTCTTCTCCTGCAAACAATATTTGTCCAGCTTTCACAGACTGTTGCACTGCATTACATTTAAAACAAAGATATCGCTTGGCTTGGGTTTAAAATGTAATGCTTTTTTTTTTTTTTCATATATATCTTTCAGCCCAAGAACTTGCCAGTCAAGATGAAAAACTTCTTCTAATGGAATCCAGCTTGAAAGCAACTCAAGAGCAGCTAAGTGAGCAAATAGCAGAAACAGTTCACCAAGAACAGAACAGTAGAAAATCACAGACAGAGCTGAAGACCCTGAGAGAACATATTATAACATCTGAAGAAGAAATTAGTGATTACAAGTGAGTTATTGCTTTTTCAGTATTTGATAAGCAGAAGACATAAAGTAAACAGTAAATCCTTTTAATAGTATACTGTGTTAAACACTTTTTCAGGTAAGATGTAATATAAATATTTTCTATAACTATTGAATAAAATTTTAAATCTAAATGGTTAAAATATATTTTAAAATATATTGTGTACTTAAAAATTGAGTTTAAAAATATTGTTGTTAGTAGTCTTTTTAAATTTTGAAATGAAAAAGATTCTGTAGTGTTGAAGCAGAATAATATGTATAATTATTACCTATATATTGATTGTATTCTCATCTTCTTCTTTTTAGAGAGCAAAGTTTACTTGTGGGCCTTACTGTCCTTATATATTTTTAAATGAAGCTGTCTCTAAGCAAGACAGTGTCAAATTAAAGGAAATTTGGTAACATCAAGGTACATACATATGAGGTTGCTAAAAAATTAAAATAAATAAATAAATAAAATACATACTGTACTTTAGAAAAGTTTACATTGAAAAAAATACCTTTGTTCTTCTCAGAATAATTTAATATCTATAAACTTAAATGTTAACTCTCAAGATTTAATTAAAAAGTACTAATCTTCAATAACTCTTAGTTATAAATTATCATGATTTTAAATATATTTTTGTATTGAGCCACAAACTGATTAATTATTCAATTTTTTCATGATTTAGAGTATGGTAAAAATGATTCACTTCTGTTGATTTTTGCCTTATTGTATGCAAACTGTTACTCTATCCTTACAAATGTCATATTAAAAAAATGTTAAATCTATAAACAAAATCTCAAGCTGTTTTTTAATATCACAGAACACAGATGAATACTTTATACAAGACAGTTTGACTGAAAAAGTCTGTTCATTCAGTGGTACATTGAACATTCAAAGCTAAATATTTTATCTCAGATTTGTGGCAAGCATCAAAGATTGCCTCAGCAAATCTCCTCTGGTTTGCTACGTTTAGATGCAATAAACATAATATGTCTAAAATCACAATATGACAATGTTGTAATTTTTACACTCAGTGTAAATGACTTTCAGACTGAAGCTTCACCCTTTCTGTAGTCAAAAGGTTAAAGTCAATTTTATTTGCAGAGGACTGGGAAAAGGTCCATAAAAAAACAAAACAAAACAAAAACAAAAACATTGTCTTCAGTAATGTGTCTTCATTTCTTTAAATAAAATAGCTTGGTGGTTTTCAACCTCCAGTTATATCTCTAAAGACATTACTACTACTTCTCTAGGGAGACTAGTGACACTGATTTGCTTTCCTAACCTAGCTTGACTCTTTTTCTACAGTAGGTTTTCTTAACCATTTCAAGCGACTCCTCAGTTGCCAAAATATCATGTTATGCAAATTCCTGTGGATACTTATTTGAAAATAAAAAGGTTAAAAACTTCTAGGACTACTGGTTGTAACTTACTGTGAGATAGTGGTGGTGGTGGTGTTGGGGGCAGGGAGGGGAGAATTGAAAATTCCAGCTGTATCTGATCAATCGTATGATGAAATACATTTGAGGGAGAAGGAATCTTGCAAAAGTTGAATGAAATGAGTCTTTCTGTTGTTGAACTAGAAATTCAAATGGTAAATGTTAGAAGACTTTGTGAGATACTTTTGTTTTTACGTTTTTACAGTATACATTGTGTGAAAAAATCAAAACTTGAATGAATCTATTAACAAAAAAAATATTAACTAAACTACCCTTTTCTATTTTATTTTATATATTAGTTTAGTAACTTCAGAAGTTTGTTATTTTAGTACAGGAACTGAACTTTGAGCAATGGGAGTTTTTTGATAACTGTATAGATTATTAAAATATTTTATTGACATTGGTTAAGTTTTAACTTTAAATTTGTAATACTTGAATGTTAAGAGTACTATGACATTACTGCAGGATCATAGAGAAGTATTTGTCAAATTAGGAAAACTAACACTGTAGATTTAAAACAACAGTTTTAACTAAGTTGAGCTAATAAAGCTAAACTCTTAAAACTAAATAAAATATAGATTTTAGAAGCTGAAGTCTTCCTATAAAATAACATTTTACTGTATACCTGAAAACAAACATGTTGTGCCAGTCAGTATCTGCTGTGCTCAGTTCCTTGGGAGACAGAAAGAACAATGGATCTCTGTCCCCTGGGTCTTCTGGGACAGGGAATGTCATAAAGGTTATGTTCAGTCACTATGAAGGGTACAGCACATGTTGTAAATCAGGATCCCTTTGGTGCTGACTTCTTCGGAGTCATATAGTCCTGGACTTTACCTACTGCCCTACTTAGTGATTCTGGCAAATGCAGCTGGTATCAAGGTGAGAGCATAGGACCTTACAACGAAAAATACAGTGCAGCATAAATTGATGGGTTTAAACTGCACAGAGAACTAAGATTCTGTTATGGCTGTTGTGGGGCCTTTAAGAGGAAAAGTCTATTTCTGCCATTTCTGTGTGTTTTTATTTCTTTATTATGAAATCATATATTAAAACTTATTTCTCCTGGAAGTGGTAAAAAGAGAAGGGATTGAAGAGCGCTTAAAAATAATAAAAGGAGCATTATTTTCATTAGATACAAAAATAAAAATAATTAGTTTTAAAATAGAATAAAAATATTTCCTGCTAACTTCACAAGATGCCAAAAATGCATGCATTCCAGGTGGAAACAGCTAAATGTTTTAAGTAGTCACAAGATCTGTTCACTGTATACTGATTCTGGAAGAAATAAACTTAAAGTAACACCTGCCCCACCCCCCCACCTCCAATATAAGCCTGTTACACTTGAAAGATTTGTTCGGAATGTCCAGTGGGAACCTGGAAATCGTAATAATTTGTAGTATCGATTGTGTGAAGCTATGCAGCTGGGGCCTCTGGTGAATAGACAGGAATAGACATTTTATTGATTAACTTTTACAGTCATATTTTCAAGACTCTGCTGCAACATAATTTTCACTTCCCAGCTTTGTGCTGCTGCATCATGAAACTTGAATTCTTCTCTCTTAACATTTACCCACCTGAGGGAAACAGTATGGACTTGTCTCTTTTAAGCTGTGCTCTGCAGAAATGCATAATACTTGGTGCAATGAATTCTTCAGAATTTTCCCTCTGCTGTCACAATAAAATGAAAAATCTTCAGAAGTGATGTTAGTAAGTATTACATAAGTTGAACCTTTCATCCACAATAGATTATATGCTATTGTGTAATACCTTATAATAATTTTTATCCACATTTGCTTTTTTATTATTTTTATTTATATTTATATTTATTTTTATTTTCTAAGTGGCTAAGATCATTGCAAAAGCAACCCTTGTTACTTACACCACCAAATTCCAGAAGTGTTTAATGGAATTAGTCCCATAATGATATAGGTGATTATAGTAGTCAGTGGAATTTTTAAAGAAAAAGATTAAATGGTTCCCTGAAAAACTGAAGTGAACTATGAATAAGAAAATACTCACTTTTAGGAGTGACAACATGCATTTACTAAAATTCCTTGTAAGAATACCAAAAGGGGAGTATTTGAATTTTTATCATTTAAAAAAATAAAAGTATATGTACTGAAGTCTAAAGTAGGTGAATCTTAGAAAGTGTTACTTCGTATTTCTGAAGTTACTCATTTCCAGAAAAGAAAGAAGTGGCATTATGCCATTTTGCAAAGAACTGTTGCATTTTTTTCCCCAGCATGGGTTTGCTTTCTAAATTATATGCCTAAAACATTACTCTTTCATGCACATACACAATTAGTAGGAAAAATCCCTGTCTGTTTTTCATACTTTACTTGGTTACTTTCACTTGGGTCATGTTTGTAAACTAAGTTTAATAATAGCTTTCACAAAATAGGCCGAATATTCACATGTGTTGCAACTGATGCTAGTATGATTTAGACCTCTGTCATGCCATTATTTATTTTTTTCTGAAATTTAATTTTTAATGTATTCTAAGTATACAAATATTTAAGATATTTGTGGTCGTGTTTCCTTTTATCCTCCCCCTCTCATCAGAGACATCCCACTGTGCTCCACTGCATGGAGCCACCACTAAGGTGGAAATGCTCCCAGCCATTACTAAAGGTTCAGCTTGTTTACCAGAAAGGAATAATTCCTATTTTCACTTAAAAATTCAGAAAAAATGTGAACAACTTTAAGTTAAGAAAACAGCATTAAAGAAAGAGGGAGAACAGGAACTACTGAAGGCCCTAATGCCTATTGGACCTGGAGTAATGTCGAAACAGAAACAGCCTCAGTCAGATGAAGAACTAGAAAAATTGTAAAAAGTAGGTAAGATTCTTTTTATGCAAGGAAAGACTTTATTATCTAGGAAATTGAGAAAAGTAACATCACATCCTACATCCTAAAGGCTTCCTAGGCCTCAGTCTTTCAAGCATTTATGAATGTCAACAGTTTCATGAAACCAATTACCTTATATACATGTCAAAGTCTGTTCACAGGTTTGCAAGATTGAAGATGAAAACTGTCTTAATATAAGTATTGTTCATGATTTTATTTAGTAGTTGTGATGCTTTATTACAGATGTTAGGTAGTGAATCATAATAATAGGAAGTAGGTGAAGTGACTGATTATGTTAATTTAGATAAATTTAACAGAAATTCAAATGAATGTGATTTGTGTGTGTGTGTGCACATGCATGTGATTTACTCAAAGAAGGGTGAAATAATATTATTTTTTTCTAAACGTGTGTGGATATGTTTAAATGAGCTTAAAGTAGTAATTGAGTAAGTTTTTTATGTTCTAGGTAGATAATCCTCTAAGTGTTCAAGACTCCATGAATAGCATGGTAACTTCATTGCTTGATTTAATGTTTAGTTTCCTATTTCTTTTCTATTTTGAAATATCAAGGTTAAGACTTCTTACAGTTATCAGAAAACATTTTCATTATTAATTAAGAAAATTAAATTTTAAAATTTGCAAGTTAAACAAATTTGAAATATTTAAATTTTTTACTTATAGTAATTTAAAAAAAAAAATCTATATATAGCAAAATGTTCCCCAGGAAGTGCAATTATTTAGACTGCACAAATTCAGGACTAGTTCTATTTCTCAAATTTAACCATAGAATTCCAGGTTTTACTGAGGGATAACTGAAGGCCAAGTGGATACATTGCTTTAGTTGTTTATCTCAGAGAGAACAGAAAATCTGAGCAATTTTAATTAGCTTCTATTATTTAGTTTGATTTAAATGCAGAAGATATAAAATCATAAACATAGAAGTATGAAGTTATAGCTAAGAAACTAAAAAAATGAAATTACTGCAAAAATGAAATTACTGCAAAAATGAAGTCCTAAAGTAAGTGAAAAATTGTGCTTATTGACTTTCAGAGTACCTCTGACACAAACACTTAATTAAATAAATGAAATAATAACAATAATATATCAGATGACCATCCTGGTGTAGAATATGGTCCTATACATTGTGTCTTCCCAGGCAGGATAGTTACTACTGGGAAAAGCTAAACTGATGGCAACAGAAATCTACATGACAGTAAGCATTAGCAGTGGCAGGCAAAATTATTTAAGAAAAGAGAATATAAAATTAAGAAAGACAGATGGACTCATAAGAGTGAAATACAAATCAGGATTGATTTCAACATAATGTGGTAGAGGAATCCCCATTTATTGATCAACTTTAAAGCCCATGCACAGCACTTAAAAAGATAAAGTAAGCAAGGTCAGATAATCAAAGCATTTAAATAGTAAAAACAGCAACTGCCACTGTAGACTGCTAAAATAAATCCATAATACAAATTGCTTTAGCAAAAAGTGGATGAGCAGCTGATCTTCCTATTGAACTTTATACTGTTCAGTGACCACACTGGGAAAAGGATTGGGAGAAATGCCTTGAAGATCAATATTGAGTGAGATGTAGCAGGGATTCATTCTGAACATGAAAGAATTACAAGTATGAGAGTAGAGATCTTGAGGAAATGTCATCAAGAAAGGACTGTTCTTTTAAAATATCACATACATTACACAAACGTGATATTAGATCTATTATCCCTGAGCATTGAAAGCTTATTAAATTAGATATTTACTTATTGTAAAGCATGAACATAAGAAAAATATAACTAATAATATTACTGGAATTAGAAGAATTCAATAACTTCTGTCTTTAAAAAAAAAAAAAAGACTTTTTAATATATTAATTAAAATGGTACTCATTTGGTACTAGTACTTTCCAGCCGTATGTATTTTAAGATATTTTGCTGACTAGAAATGATAAAACAGATAATTGTATTCTTTCTTTCTCTCTTCCGCATTCTCTCTTCCTCTCTTTCTCTTCCCCTCTTTCTCTTTCGTTCTTTTTTTTTTTTTTTCCTGTATCCTGTTGCTTTTCTGAGTTCAACGTGCAGCTTCAGTTAACCTGTTTAAGAATTATTCTTCCAAATTTGTTTTAAATAACATTTTCATAGATGTTTTTAATGTTTTATAGAAAGTATAAAACATTAGAAAGAATCTATTTCAAATGGTCCGAAATTGAATTCCTACTAAACCTTTACAGGTTTTTCATTTATTTATTTATTTATTTTTAAATAAGATGTTTAAAAAACATTATAGTTTTCACTTCTACATTAATTTTTGCAGCACTTTAAAAAGTATTTATGAGAAAGAAATACTAGATGTAGTAGTACTGTAGTAGTTTATGGTTTCATATATGTTGTATTTTTTCACAGTTTTATTATATAATTTTGTGAGAAATATTGCACTTTCAAGGACATTTTGCCCCATTTAAAGGCAAAAGCCTATTTTTTTTATTTGTTTGTTTGCTTGTTTTTGAATTTAATCTTTCCATTTCACATCCACTTCTAAAGGAAAGGTGGGGAGGAAAGTGTTAATTTCAGAAAGCAATAACTCATCGTTTCAAGATATTTGTATTTCAAACAATAATAACAACAACAACAAAAAGAATTAAAACTAGAGTATTTCAAACATTGTTTTCTTTTTAAAGAGAGTGTTCATGCTTTATTTGAAGGCCTTATTCAGCAAACTATGTTAAGGAACTGAGTCCCAAAAGCATAAAATTTGTTCTCTGTGGTAGCTCTATGATAGCCCTTCCCATAATGAATAGTTATTTACAACTAGTACTGGTTCCATATTTGCAATATGAATTGCTGATTACAGCAATTTCAATGGCAAATTGCAAAATAATATTCCTAGTTGTCAGAGAAAGGTCAGCTTATTTGCATTCATTAGGAACTTGGAGGGCCATACTGCAAGCTTTTCTTTTGGGATGCTTACACTTATTGATTTTTATACAGCTGTAGGAAAAATTAATTACAATTATATTTCATTTACCTTTGGAGGTTGTATGATAATAATTATAATAATAACAAAAAAGTTCAACATCAAAAAATCATTCAGCAAATTATTTTTTTTTTTAATTAAAATTGTTAGATTTAACTTATTTAAAATAATGTCTTGAATGGTCTGAGGTTCTTACAGAAAGTTCTTACAGAACTTTTGTGAATAGTCATAATACTTTTATTTTCATGGAGGTGCATAAGCACTTACATTAATGTGACATAAAGTATTCACTACTTTTCTCTTTAGGAGTGATTTTTAAAGATGCTTTTAAACTCAGAAAACATTGAATCATATGCATAACTTTCCTTATGTAGGGAACTTTCTTTATATCACTTGTATAATAATTAACTCCAAAATTTGATTTAAGCAAATGAATAATCCTGGCATAATAAATTATCTTATTTGCACACTTACATTTTTTATCTAGTTCTTAAAGACCTTTCAAGACCAAGAGCTACATAAAATAGAACGGAAATATTTTAGTTGCTGTTGTCTGCTAGCTGCTTAGGTCTGAGAAATGTAAGTAATCTCTTCAAAAAGCTGAAATGGGAAAAATGCCAACAATGTGGGACCAGGAAAGGCAAATTGTCAGACTGAGACAAAACTTTGTGGAAATGGAAAGAGAAATGGAGAACTTAAGATTTACACATAGCAGTGATGCTCAGATGGTATGCATTGATGTATTTGAAATCCTGTTTGTATTATATTGAGAAATACTGTACATGATTAGTGCATATTTCTGTGAACTTTTAACACTTCAGATGGATTAGAATGTCTTATTTTGATCATATCCATATTGTTCATTGTGATAAGATTAGGTCCTGAGTCATTAAAAAATGTTTGGCTTATTTCCATTACATTCAAGCATGTTTTAAGTAGAAAAATATAGAATACAGTTTTCCATATTGTGCATATATAACACATGTTTGAGATTAATCAAACCATAGTCACCTCTAATTAACAGCAGAGAGCAATTCCAACATGGGGCAGAGCCAGATGACAAAGAAGTGAAGCACATATTTAAAAGATAATAATAACCAAAAAAAAAAAAAAAAAAAAGCTATGACTTCCTTAAAAATACTGAACCTGTGGTTCTGTGGGTACAATGAATAGAAACTGTCAAATAATTCAGTTTTATTTTTTTTCTTAGTATGGACAAAAAAATCCAGAACCAAACACTTGTATAAGTAAATATATTCTTTCTACATTAACATTTTTTCCCCTTTACCCTCAGATGATTATAAACCCCTTGAAATGAAGAGCAGAGCAGAGGCACAGAGAAACAGAGATATTGTATTATGAAAATTCCACTACTGGATTCATTTTAAAACACCCTGACCACAGCCAGGATTGAAAACTTTATACTGTAAAACTTTACACAGTAAAATCATTCCTGCAAATACACTGTAGCCGATAACTTCAGGGTGTTATCTTATTGGTTCTGTGAACCAGTCATTTCTACTTTGCTTTCACTCCATCTCTTATTCTAATCATTTTATTTATTACTTTTTTTTTTTTTTTTTTTTTTTTAAGTATTTTCAGTGAGTGATCTCTCCTCAGATTCAACACACTTAATTTAAGATGAGTAGCATCTTAAATTCTTGCTATATAAAAAAGTTGCTTCCTTTTTTGTGTGTGTGTGTTACACCTAGCACTACAGCATTTTCAAAAGCTTTGTGTGATCTGATTACATCATGGTATATTGTGGTCTTTTGCTAGGACTACTCTGCAAGAAAACTAGAAATCAGTATCAGAACCTGCTTCCAAGCCAAGCAGATTTCAGGAGGCACCCAGACTAAAAAGTAAAAATGGATTCACTTCTTTCTTATGAATACTTTTCAAACTGAAAAAGGATTCATGGCTTGGTATATTGTCTGACTTTCAGAGGTCAGACAATGATTTGGCAAGCAGACACATTCTCTAATAGGGATGTAATTTTTGTTATTTTTTTGGCCACCTTGTGCCAGTCAGGCTAAGGTATACTGCATCAATATAAGTCTATCTGAAAAATTTTCTTAGCCATTATTATTTTTTTTTTTTTTTCATGTACAAGCCAGGAAAAATGCAGGATAATAAATACCAATAGCAAGACACCACCTATCTCCAAGACATCAGAATTTTTGAACAGAATTAATGTTGAACTTTAAGATAAATGCTCTGTTGCTCTCTTTCTGTATTCACACACATATACATACACATAGGTTTGTTAATCTCATTCTTGGAAATGACTGGATTATTTTCATTTAAACTTTCCAAGATAATTTGGCCTTGAGCAAAAACTCGGTGAGACGAATTTCAACATAAACAAATTATGTTTGACAAAGCTCTAAGCAACTTAAAACTGTGTCTTATGTTGGAAATTTTTTTGATAGGACGGCACAATGATATGCCATGATATTACCATCCTGCCAATAGAGGAAGATAGATCAACATGGACGATCAACACCATCTTGCTGAAATGGATGAGAGCAAGCACAGGCTTTTTGGCTAATAGGTACGAACTGAAACTTTGAAAATAAGTACAATCCCTAATGTATGAAACTTAAACTTGACATAAAATATAATGTTCACTTGCTTATAATTTTCAGAGTTGTATTGTATGCCTATGCATCTATGAGGACAACAGTCTGTGATAGCATGTGAAATTTTAAATATTTTTTTAATCAAGGAAAATGTCCTGTTCTTGTTCTTGAATTCTTTCAATATTTTACTCAGAAATTTGTATGGAAAGGACTCGTTGTCTGTCATTTTTGTCAGTAAAAGCCATTCTTCTAAAACCCAGAGCTGCTTCTTTCATTTCCTTTTGCTTGTTTATTTTGCATGTATTGTTCTGCTTTAGAAGATGTCATGGTTCTTTATGATTTTTTAAAGTTAATTCATTTAAATTCTTTTGCAGTTTTCTTTCAGATGGATATTTTAGTCATCAGAGTTCATAGTGGCAATATGAGTTCTTTTTCAAAATCTGGCAACCTCAAGGCCCTTAAAGACTCTAAAAATCCTTAATGCCTTTAACCAGAAGTTATTTTCAGTATTTCCAGGGATCTGTCTTTACATCCTGATTTGTAGAATAATTCTTGGTAGATGGTTCCATGAGTCTTACAAGTCAGGTAGTGAATTTGAAGTACAAACTTTTATCATAGGACATGACAATATTAAGTCCATCCTTGTCATTACAGATTTCTCAGGAGAATTGAATGTTCTGTGGTAGACATATTGTTGAACATTATTTGAATCCAATTTTTCTGAATGACTTTGCTTCTTTCTTTGCAGCTACAAAGCAAAATTTAATCTGTGGATTTTATGGCACAAAAATTTCTTATATAACGTTGTCAGATTTGTTATATTAAATTTAACCAAACGTCTGTTTATCTAAAAAGCAAACAAAAAACAAAAAATAGAAAATATAGTAACACCCCCCAAAAAAATACAATAACCCTCCCCCAAGGGGAAAAAAAAAAAAAAAAAAGACAAAAAAGATAATATTTCTTAAGGTTTTTTTGTTTGTTTGTTTGTTTGTTTGTTTGTTTTTTAGTTATTATTCATTGTTCTTCTTTACTTCTGAGTATGTTAAGCCACTTTTGCCATAATTTTATCCATCTATTTGGATGAGAACTTTCTTCATCTGTAACCATTACCCTGACTCTTCATGTTTGGCTTGCAGAAATACTAGCTCCCCATTTATTGATACATCTACATCATAGTAAATTTGCTGTTTTTTCATTGTTAATGAAAAACAAGAGTTTAAAAACCTTCCACTTTTTCTGTTGCCAGATTTAAGTGTACTTACTTAAGTTTGCTTATACCAGTGGCTAAACAAGAAGTAATAAAGTATTTATATTTACTGCCCAAGGTCTGAGATGGAATGCTGCTCACAACCCACAGTAACTTCCTCACATATTCTCCTTCATTGGAAGCATTTTTGTTATGGACTGCTCACCTTTCACACGTCTTTAATACCGTCTACTGAGAAAAATATTAAAAAGTCAAATATAACTATTACTTTAATCAAAGGTGTTTCCTTGATCTGACAGACGTTGGTTGGTTTTCTCTCATCTTCTTGTTTTATTGCTTCTAAAAGTTGGCCTGGGCTTTATGACTATTTGACATCTGTTTCTTCACTGAGATTTGCACCAATTATATTTTGCCATTCATGGAATGCAAGTTTGTTTATTGCTATCCTACATAAAAATTTCTGCCAACTCTTTTTGTTTGTGTGGCAATTACATCACTGCACAGTGTAAACAATATTTGTCATAGTATCTACATCTACTATTACTTTTTTCATGAAGAGAAATGCATAAAGGCAAACCACATCAAGTGTTTAGCAGAAGTGATCTAGCTTTTCCATATTTTGGAGTGGAGTGTTATACAGTGACTGTGACTGTGGTGACTGTGGTTGCTTAAGTTCTATAAGATGTACTGTCATGGTAGTGGACTAATTAGTAAAGCTAACTCCAGAAAAGGAAATGTAGCGTATGGAAGCAAGTAGACATACTCTTTCTGATTCCTAGGCTACCTTCATAACAGGATTTTATTTTATTTTGTCGTGTAGATGTTGACTCTATGATATTTGGCAGTATGGCTGTTTGAACAAGTTGTCTATTTCCTTACAGGCTAGAAAATATCCTAATAAGGCTCAGCCAACCCCTGAAGCACGTTTTTAGAGGTTCTGTTTCAGGTATGCATAGAAACAGACACCGGGAATGTTTTCAGACATGATCATCATACTCTGCTATGGCCTTTTTTTTTTTTTAATACTTAACATACTTAACAAAAATAAAATAAAATAAAAAAATAAATAAATAAAAATCCTGCTTTCTTTGGAAAGGTAATTACCAGGCAGTTGCCAAGTGAGTAATGAAAAACTTGTTTTCTTGATAATGACTTCTTGAAAAATACCCAGATAGATCCCACAATTATTCTCTCATTCTCATGAACCCAAAGTTTTTATGAATATGGTATTCTGATGAGGATCTGAGTATTCTGAGAAGGTGAGGTTTTATAATATACAGTAAGGTATATATAGTAAGGTAGTCAAGATATCCTGAGTTTGCACAAGTGACACACTCCAACACTGAGACCTACATGACTAGAACAATGTTAGATAATACACCTAAGTTATGCAATAGACAATTGTTCCTTCTGATATATATATATATTAACAGATATTAATTATTTGCAGAGAAATAGCTTTCTGTAGCTTTTTTTTAAAGCCACATTTTCAAACACTAAGCTGAAAAGTATAGGAAAGAAAATAACATCTTAGCTAGTCTATCATAAAATATACTGATCAGTCTTTACAGAGCAATTGAAAATATTCACTTGTACACCTAACAAAAGTTTATCTCCAACCACCAGCTTATTTCCTCACTGTAAGAAAAGGAACACAGTATCTGCCTGGTCTCTGAGTATGACACTTTATTATTAAAATAGTCCAAGAAACTGGAAGTCTATATCTCTTCCAGAAGATAAAGAACTGGAAGGCTATATCTCTTCCAGAAGAAGAAGAATTGTGATATTTTATCTAATTATGCTTTTTTTTTTTTTTTTTTTTTCCTTGGCCAGAATAAAAACTATGGTGCCAACCCTATGGAATTGGTAAGCCTTCACACTTTGGGGAAAAGTAATTTTGGAAAATATTTTGAAGTAATCTTTGTCAGAAAAACAGCTGACAAAAATCTGAAATGAGAACACAGTATGTCAGGGAAAATTCAGAAGTTAAGCTGTATCTTTATGCAACCTTACAGAATCCAGCCCAAATTCTGAAGAGTTATGGCATTTCTACTTGTATATTTAACTGAAAAAAAACACCACTTTTTTTGATATAGAAGCTAAGGAGAGTCAGATAGAACAGTTGGGGCTTGGGGATTTATTTAGTTGGGAATTATTCCTAAATTATGAACATAAGCTCCTGAGAATTATAGGGCTGGTAAACTTACTGGCTGAATGAGTTTCTTGGAGTTTTTTCTTCTACAGTCCCTTAATGTACCCCAATGTTTTTAAAACAAATTTTAAAGAATTTACATTACATTAAGAGATTTTACATTTTCAAAGGGTGTGCAATTATTTATTTATTTTTAATACTAGATTTTTTATGTGTTTGTATTTTTTATGTATTCTGGGATATAAATGGATTTTTATATGTAAAGATTTACAGGATAGTAAATTGTCTTGTCTTTGGTATCAAGATAAAAAATGGATACCATTTGAAGAAACGTATGCGAAGAACAAAATCAAAAGAACAAATAAGGAAATGTATTCACAGGAACCGGGTATTGTATAGTGAATCTTGGTATATATGGCTGAAAGTTTGCCAAATTCATTTGCCCACTCTGGAGCTTTGGTTTAAATCATAGTTATTGATAAGGCCAAATAAAGTTCAAGAGAACTAGTTCTCTCAGCTGCCTTCTCTTACATATGTATTTATAGAAATGAATATCCTTTTGTTTGTTTGTTTATTGATTTTTACTTTTAACTTGACACAGTTTTTAAAAAAAATAATGTGGCTTGATTGGTCATAATTTGCGTCCCTGAAATTAATAAGCAAGAATGAAAAGGATTAAGATGAGCAGAGCAATTAATGTAATAAAATGTTTCTTTAAATAGGAACAGAAAGATTTGGCAGGAATGAAAACATCTAAATTATATCATATAATCTGACTTGTTTTATTTTTTAAAACCATGAAAATCACATAGCAAAACAGGAAGAAGAGATGGGCCAGACACAGAAAAAACACTGCTATGTAAAGGAGGAGCCCTTAGAAGAACAGTCTCATTGCTGGGCGGCTATGCTGCAGTGCAAAAACTAATAAAATGCCCCAGTACTCAGGTAATAACCTTTGTACAACATGTGAAATGGAAACTTAATGTTTGAGTAAATGTTCTTAGAATATAAGTGAATGTTCTTAGAGGATATTTCCAATGCTACTTAAATAACATCTGCAAAATTCACTTTCAGCACAAACTTGAGAAATATTGCTTAAAATATCTACTAGCATTCTTTTTTTTTTTTTTTTTTTTTTCAATAGTGTGAGTGGGATTCATTTTGTCAAATTTGAGGTGTCTCTAGTCTGGATGGAAATATTTGAAGTGTCTAAGTTCCCATTACAGTGATCAGCAACTTAATCAATTCAGTGGGTAGAATCAAGGGCTGAATACCTTCCAGTGCCTAAAAGAAACCTATGAGAAAGTGGAGAGGGACTCTGTCAGGGAGTGTATTGAAGCAAGGGGTAATGTCTTTAAACTAAAAGAGGGGAGATTTTAATTCGATATTAGGAAGAAATTCTTTGCTCTGAGCATTGCACTGGAACTGGCACAGGTTGCCCAGAGAAGCTGTGGATGCCCCATCCCTGGAAGTGTTCAAGCCCAGGTTGTACCAGGCCCTGAGCAACCTGGTGCATTGGGAGGTGTCTCTGATCATGGTGGGGGGGTAGGAGCTAGGTCTCTTCCAACCCAAACCATTCTGTGATTCTACGATTCTGTGAATAAATGTACAGTCAAACAAGTATTAAAGTTTCCAGATGAGCAGAAAATCTTTCCAGATGACCGCATGACCAGATCTCAACTTGAGGTAATGGAAGAGTAGGTATAGAGTCATGCATAGTTATCTACATGCAGACATCGAAATTTAGGTGAGAGGAATTATTTCTGATAAGTTAGCAATTTTACAGTAATTCATTATATGCTCAAAAAACAAATACATGTATATATTTTTTATCTATTTTGGTAATAAATGTACTAGATATTTTAAAAGCTTAAATACCGGTAATTGCTCTAAGCAATATCTAATATATAAAGACAATGAGCTAGATGGGAATGATTAATGGCAGAGAGAAAGAGAAAGACAGGTTGAAATAATATATGTTTGTCTTTCCTGAGTCTGAGTACTAGAGCCCTTTCTTTCTTAACCATTACCATTTGTTTTATTATTTATAGTTGTTTTATTATTATTATTATTATTATTATTATTATTATTATTATTATTATTATTATTATTATTATTATTTATTTCCCTCTAGAAAAAGAAGGATAAGAAAATGTGAATAGATATGAAAGTGAGAAAACCAAAAGACTTAGTAATATGACAATACTCTTCTTCCACTCTGTTGTTACTGGAAGGATGCCAAAAGATGGGTTCTCTACTATATTATTTCACTATAGTGGTGCTTGAATTTTGGAGCTTCACTGAGCCTTATGCACAGTATAATAAAGTTTATTGAACAGAAATACGTTATCGCCTGTAGGCTGTATGATAGCAAAGTGCTTATATTGAAAAAATAATAAATATTCAGTTAAAAATGTTTAGAGAGTTGTAATTTGTCAAGGATTTATTGTATACAAGTTCTCTGGAAATACTAGTTCAAGAAATGCTACACAAATTTTGGATGAAATTTTTCACTTCACTTTTATGATAAATGTTTTGCATTTCCAATATTTGTAACATAATATAATTAGGATATGTATGTAAAAAATGCAATAAGTTCCTAATCAATTGTTTGAATATGTGCTTTAAAAAAAATAAATAAAATAAATAAAAAAATTTGAGATTACAGGAAGATTTAACGTAAAGATAAATACACAATGAAATTCTAATCAAGCAATTGAAATAGTTACTCATGATGAAGCTAGGGTTATCAATGTATCAGAACACAAATTGCTTTATGAATATTGATTTTCTGCTTGATAGAGGCAAATTACTACTGGGAGCAACTGGTTCCATTAAGATTCTGTATTAGTCAGTTCCCATTTTCTGAAGCTAAGTAACTTGGAAGGTATACTGAAGGTTTCATCTTTCTGAAAACAACATTATCTTATATAAAGAATTATTATATGTAAGAAAGATTTTTACATTGAACTATGGTAACTTTTTAGGCTGCTTTAATGCAGTCACATAAGTCTGGACATAAAAAAAAAAAAAAATCTGACATACATCAGATAAAACTGCTTAATTCTCCAGATATTAATGTATCATACATTACAAAGACAGAAGAAACACTGTAATCAAGTCTGATATGTGGCACGATGCAGACCATGAGACTTCACTGAATTAAGTGGTACAGTTGTGTCTAACTAAATGTGATTGAAATGTGGCGTATTAAAATGGATCATATATTTTGCAATACATTCTTGATCCAGTGTTAGACAATTCATGACAGCCCTTCATAGGTTGCTCCAATATTTAGTAAACTATCTTTTGAAAACATATAGCATGCTGACTCTGTATCATTTTATCACCTTACTATGCACATAATATGAAGCCTAATATATATCAAAAGTATTTTATAATGTCATCTTTATCAATAGCATTTGAAATCTCACAAAACTGATACAGCAGATGGTTTGACAAGATGTGTTTAAAGTAAGTTCATGGTAATTAATGCATATTTGTTCCCTGTATCCACAATTAATGGAAATTACTCTGGATTTATGATATTAGTTGTTCTGATATTTTGCTTGGAACAGATAAGTAACTACCCTCCCTGAATTGTTTGAATAACTTGCTAAATACTAAAAAGTATTAGCAGAGAATTAATATGTACTGTTTAAGAAGCTTTCAAGGTTGCCAAGACTAAACACCATAGAAATTATCTAGAATTTTTTTTTTTTTTCTCAAAAGCACTTCAAAAACTCTTAGGTATGTTTTACCTCAGCAAGATAAAATATATCTATATTTCTGTGATTGCAATCACTTTTATCATAAGCCCAAGATACCTGTGCATTCTTTTGTTAGAATAGAAAAACTTAGTTGAAGGGACTTGTGAAGATTATTGAGTCCAACTGTCTGACCACTTCGGGTCTAAATGAAAGTTCAAGCATACTGTTGAGAACATTATTCAAATGCCTCTTGAACATTGAGAGGAGTGGGGCATCAGCATCCCTATGAATCTTGTTCCAGTGTCTGACCACCCTCACAGTAAAGAACTTTTTCCAAAAGTCCAGTCTGAATCCCCCCTGGCACAAAGGTGTGCCAGGGGACAGGCACAACCTGTTCTCATTTACCAGGGAGGAGAGACTGACACCTCCTTCTACTTCCCCTCCTCTGGAAGTTGAAGAGAGCAGTGAGGTCACCCCTCAGCTTTTTTTTTTTTTTTCTCTAGACTAGACAACCCAAGTGTCCTCAGCCTTTTTTCAAAAGACATACCTTCCAGCCCTTTTGCCAGCTTAGTTGCCCTCCTCTGGATTCTTTCAATATCCATTTTATGTTATGATGCCCAGAACTCCACACAATATTCAAGGTGAGGATGACCAACAGTACATATAATGGAAGAATCACTTCTTTTGACCTTTTGCTGATCATGCTGTGTTTAACGCATTCCAAAATATCATTTGCCCTCTTGGCTGCCACGGCATGCTGCTGCCTCAAGTTGAGCTTGTTGTCAACAAGTACACCCAGTTCCCTTTCCAGAGAGCCTTTCTCCAGCCACTCATCTCGCATTGTATACCTGTGTAGAGCATTGCTCTATCCCAGAAGCAGAACCTTTTTCTTTCATTTTGTTGAACTTCACAGAATCATGGAATCATCCAGGTTGGAAGAGACCTCCAAGTTCACCTAGTCCAACCTCTGATCTAACATTAACAAGTCCTACACTAAACCATATCACTAAGCTCTAAATCTAAACATCTTTTAAAGACCTCCAGAGATGGTGACTCATCCACTTCCCTGGGCAGCATGTTCCAAAGTATGCCTTTCTGTAAAGAAGATTTTCCTAAGATCTAACCTAAACCTCCCCTGGCACAACTTAAGCCCATTCCCCCTCATCCTGTCACCAGGCATGTGGGAGAATAGACCAATCCCCACCTGGCTACAGCCTCCTTTTATGTACCTGTAGAGTGCGATAAGGTCACCCCTGAGCCTCATTTTCTCCAGGCTGAACAAGCCCAGCTCCCTCAGCTGTTCCTCGTAAGACTTATTCTCCAGGCCCCTCACCAGCTTCGTCGCAAAGTGACCCCTTCTATGACAAAGTGACCCAGCGCGTCACTTTGTCATAGAAGGAGATTAGGTTCGTCAAGCAGGACCTGCCTTTCATAAACCCATGCTGACTGGGCCTGATCACCTGCTTGCCCAGTAAGTGCCGCGTGATGACACTCAAGATAATCTGCTCCATGAGCTTCCCTGGTACTGAGGTCAAACTGACAGGCCTATTGTTCCCCGGGTCTACCCTTCGGCCCTTCTTGGGTTTCACGTTTGCTATCCGCCAGTTGACTGGGACCTCCCCCGATAGCCAGGACTGCTGATAAATGATGGATAGTGGCTTAGCCAGCTCCTCTGCCAGTTCTCTCAGTACCCTTGGGTGGATCCCATCCAGCCCCATCGACTTGTGCACATCCAAGTGCTGTAGCAGGTTGCCAACCATTTCCTTATAGATTACTAGGGCCACATCCTGCTCCCCATCCCCTTCCACCAGCTCACGGTACTGGGCATCCAGAGAACAGCTGGTTTTGCTGCTAAAGACTGAGGCAAAGAAGGCATTAAGCACCTCCACCTTTTCCTCATTTCTTGTAACTAAGTTTCCCCCCGCATCCAGTAAAGGATGGAGATTCTCCTTAGTCCTCCTTTTTCTGTTGATGTATTTATAAAAACATTTTTTGTTATCTTTAACGGCAGTAGCCAGTTTGAGCTCCAGATGAGCTTTGGCTTTCCTAATTTTGTCCCTGCACAGCCTCGCAACATCCTTATAGTCCTCCCTAGCGGCCTGCCCACTTTTCCAAAGATTATAAACCCTCTTTTTTCTCCTAAGCTCAAGCCACAATTTTCTGTTGAGCCAGGCTGGTCTTCTTCTGCGCTGGCTCATCTTTGGGCACGTGGGGACAGACTGCTCCTGAACCACT